AAATTCTGTAGAAGACCTTGAAGAAATAACTTTTAGAGCTATGAGGCTGGGTTAGCAGATCCATTCACTTCTGCCAAGTGGAAGAGCCAGGCTTCCAGAATTTGATATGTTTATCGACTCATCTAAAGAAACAAATGCTTTAAATTTCTCTGTCTGCATTTAATCCACTTGTCAAGCAGATTTATGGCAGAGCTATCAAACAAATATTTCTATTCCTGGTGGCATATATTTGTGAATTAAAGATTTCCAATTTGATGGGGCCGGCACCATGGCACAGGTTAATCCTCCTCTTGCGGCGCCGGCATCCCATATAGGCGCCTGTTCTAGTCGCGGCCGGCTGCTCCTTTTCCAGTCCAGCTCTCTGCTGTGGTCTGGGAAAGCAGCAGAAGATGGCCCAAGTGGTTGGGCCCCTGCACCCCACATGAGAGACCTGGAAGAAGCTCCTGGCTCCTGGCTTCAAATTAGCGCAGCTCCAGCCTTGGCAGCCATTTGGGGAGTGAACCAGTGGATGGAAGACCTGTCTTTCTGTCTCTCCCTCTCATTGTTTGTAACTCTACCTCTCAAATAAATAAATAAAATCTTAAAAAAAAAAGATTTCCAATTTTATAGAATGTAAGTTAGGATACTGACTTACGATCCACCTTGTCTATCAAATGACTATAGATCCACTGGTGAAAGATTGTCAAATTTCATTTCTCTCATTGAGAGAATGTTATTCTAATTATTTATTTTAAATTTTGTTTGTTATAAAAAATTTAATTTTTATTTATGTAGAAATGGTAAACCAAAGATTAGAAAAATAGCTGTAATTAATATAGAACCAGCAGCTACATGCTTTTGCCACTAGATGGAGACGCTGCCTCGATAATCCAAAATGCTAAATTGGCAAATCTGAAAACGAATGTGTTGATTAGAGGGGCCACTGAATAAGGAGATTGAGGCTATGAATAAGTGTAATACAGGCACATTGTTTTGCAGTAATAGAAGTATGATAGCAGAGTCAGAAAACATGAAATGCCTTAGGGCTGGCACTGAACTGTGATCATTAAAGCCACTTCACCAGTTCTTGTCCTGGTTGCTTGATCCACTTCCAATGCAGCTCTCTGCTAATAGTCTGGAAAAAGCAACCAAAGATGGCCCAAGAACTTGGGCGCCTGACACCCATGTGTGAGACCTAGAAGAAGCTTCTGGCTCCTAGCTTGAACCTGACCATACCCTGGCTGTTGCAGCCACCTGGGAAGTGAACAAGCCAATGAAAACTAACTCTCTCTCTCTCTCTCTGTAACTCTAGCTTTCCAAACAAATAAATAAATCTTAAGAAATGTCTAACAAACTGCAAATTTTTAAAATTTGATCAAAAAGAAGAGAAAAAGAATTAGCAAAAATGAATACAAATTAAGGTTTCATAATTTTAAATGCAACAGGTATTCCATAAATAATTTTTTAAAAGTTTGAGATTATAAATGTAAAATTCGGTTTGGAAACTCAAACTTTAAAATAAATTTATATTCGAAACCAGGTAACATAAATCTAATGTTCAACAAAAATTTAATGCAACATGTATTGAAATTGACTTTAACTTGAGAAAGGGGTACATGGAATATGATAGTTGCATTCTTTTTTTAAAAAGATTTATTTGTTTGAAAGTCAGAGTTACACAGAGATAGAAGGAGAGGCAGAGAGAGAGAGAGAGGTCTTCCATCTGCTGGTTCACTCCCCAATTGGCTGCAACAGCTAGAGGTGTGCCAATCCAAACCAGGAGCCAAGAACTTCTTCCAGGTCTCCCATGCAGGTGCAGGGGCCCAAGCACTTGGGCCATCTTCTACTACTTTCCCAGGCCATAGCAGAGAGCTGGATCAGAAGTAGAGCAGCTGGGTCTTGAACTGGTGCCCATATGGGATGCCAGCACTGCAGGCAGCGGCTTAACCTGCTGTGCCGCAGTGCCAGCCTTGTGTTCTTTTTTTTTTTTTTTTAAAGATTTGTTTTATTTATTTGAACAGCAGAGTTACAAAGAAAGAGGGAGAAAGAGCTCTTCACTCACCTGGTTCACTTTCCAAATGGCTGTAATGGCCACAGCTGGGCCAGGCCAAAACCGAGGACCTGGAACTCCATCTAGGTACCACACACAGTTGGCAGGGGCACGTATACTTTTCTGCTTTCTGAGACACAGTAGCAGGTAGCTAGACTGGAATTTGAGCAACCACAACTTGAACCAGTGCCCATAGGGGATGCCAGTCACAAGTGGCCGCTCAGCCTGCTGTACCACAATGCAAACCCTGATAGATTATATTCTTAATGTTTATTTTTGTACTTGTAGATTCTATGCTAAAAATCCTTCATCTTTTTATTTGAATTTCTTCCAAGCTAGTGCTAAGAATACAGTGCTAAGACATATTCTGTCCTCAGGAACCTCAGAGTCTTGACTAGTTGGAGTCAGTAGAGAAATTAGGCCCCAGTTGATCCTCACTTCTATCTAATGCAAGAATCCTGTCAACTTCTGCCTAAGTACTTGTGGTGAGAAGAACCCACACTACTTCATAAAAACCCACTGCTCCATGGGGTTAATTTTAGGAAACCCCTCCTTAGAGTGGAGCATTTTGGAAGAAGGGCATTTCTGTCCATTGGTACAAGTTCTGTGCTCTGGTACCATGCAGAACAAGTCAGCTTGGTCCTCAGCCTGGTCGTCAGCCATCTAGAACGTGACCACATCTACACTCCAGTGTGGAGTTTTTCCTCCACATTAAACACTACTACCTCAGTAGTCTCTTTCCCAGTCATCTTGAATAGTTACTATTCCCTGTCTTGTGTCTTCTGCACATTTTATATTTATCTGTGAATTACAGACAAAAATACTTCTGTGAAATACTAATTAGAGACCTTTCTTGGGTTGATATTCATCTGGTGTTCAAAGCTCTGATTAGATTTGTCCATCCTAGCTGTGAACCCATATTTCTCTATCACAGAGATAACACAGAAATCTTCATTATACAGCTTCCAAATATCATTATTTTATCAAGTAATTATTGACCACCTGATATATGCAAAGCACCATATCAGATACTGGAATACCACTGAGAAAGACCTGGCCCATTGGAATTTAGAGGTGATGATCAAGGCTCCCGGGTGTGAAATCCAGCCACAGGGCTGAGTGGAGGCTCAAGCGGCGGGGGAGGAAGGAAGCCAGTGCCTGCGCCAGGGCTCCCTCTGGAGGGTGGTGCTCGAGCTCTGTGCTGGGCAGTTAGGAGTCAGCACTGGTAGCAGGGTGGGGTGGCAACTGTGAGGCAGCAGAAATCGGGCCTTCATCTGATGCTGGTTTTCCCTATTTTGTTTGAAAAGTACCCTCTTTGCTAAAGAATGCATACATAGAGAAGCCTACTCTTTGGAAGGTGTCCACATGTCTTCCCTTCTTTGTTCTTCTTGCAAAGGCACTGACTTCCTCCATGATAAAACCACCAAGAATACAGGGTTTCTGTATTATTAGACTATCAAAATAAAAGCCAAAAAAGTACCAAAAATGCTGCTTAAATTGCTCTTGCACTGCTTTCTTTGGAGGAAAAAATAGTTGAAAGGGATATTAAGTGGGTAGGAATAATCACAAGTAAAACTGAGGAGTGCACTGTATCCTCTTACTTCCAGGAGGGAAGCCTTTGTCTTCCTTCTCAAATCCTCCCCTCACCCTCGCATCCACAGTCCCATCCTATCCAAGGCCTTCTCCAGAGCTCCACTGCTGTAAACTCATTACAACCCTAGGTAGCAACACAAGTGCCCTTGGCCGAATACAGCTCAGGATACACATTTTCCCAGACAGGGGCCAGTCCTAGGGCACAGTGGGATAAGGCACTGATTGAGGGCCTGCATCCCATATGGGAAGCCTAGTTCAAGTCTTGGCTACTCCACTTCAGTCCTGCTTCCTTAGAGACAGCAGATGATGGCCCAAGTATTTGGATCCCCCACCACCCACATGGGCGAATCGAACAGAGTTTCTGGCTCCTGGCGTAGGCCTGGCCAGCCCTTACAGTTGAAGGCATTTGGGGAATGAAGCAGGGGAAGGAAGAGCTCTTTTTCTCCCCACTCCAGTCTCTCTTCTCCTCTCTCTCTCCCTTATTTTCCTGTCTCCCTATCACTCTGCCTTTCAAATAAATTTTTGTTGAAGAAGAATCTCAAACATTTGAATTTCCATAGTCTAGAAGACTAAGAATCTTCAAGACTACAATGAAAAAGGCTGCAGTAACCAGAATCATGCCCTCTTGATTCATACCACTTGGACAGCCCTCTTTCTGAGTAATCGGTGTCTAAGACGATCCAGCAGATACTTCCACCTCCCTTTCCTTCCCAGACTGTCCAGCCAATAAGCGTTACTTGAATCACTGCGAAGTGAGAAGTAAACAAATGAAGTGATGTGTAGGCAGCTGAGAAGTGAAGACTTATAAGCAGAGAATTTTTTTTCTTCTCAGAAGTATAGAGGCTGATTTAAAATATATAGATTTTAATGGGGCTGGAGATGTGGTATAGCGGATAAAGCCGCAACCTGCAGTGCTGGCATCCCATGTGGGATCCGGTCTGAGTCCCGGATGCTCCACTTCCAATCCAGCTCTCTGCTACGGCCTGGGAAAGCAGTAGAAGATGGCCCAAGTCCTTGGGCCCCTGCACCCACCTACATGGGAGACCCAGAAGAAGCTCCTGGCTCCTGGCTTCGGATCGGTGCAGCTCCGGCCTTTGCAGCCATTTGGGGAGTGAACCAGTGGATGGAAGACCTCTCTGTCTCAGCCTCTGCCTCTCTGTAACTCTGTCTTTCAAATAATAAATGAATAAATATTTTTTAAAAAAGTAAAATATATAGATTTTAAAATATAGTGTTAATTTGTACTGGAAATTACACTTCATATAATCAAAAAGCCAAAACGTAAATAAGTCCCATGTATATGTGTAATGTGGCCTTTGGTAAACTAACAAGCCATATCTAATGTTTTTGTTTGGTTTTGTTCTCCTTTTGGAACTAGGTTATTCAGAGAATATTCTACACAGTCAACAGATCTTGGAGTGGAAAAATTACTTCGACAGAGATAAGAAAAAGCAACTTTTTGCAAGTATGCCTCTCTGATAAAGCTGAAAGATCAAATTAAATAATGTTCTTATTTCACTTAATAATATTTAAGTGCTTACTGCATATGAAGTACTGTCACTACTTTCAGTCATTAAGCATTTGTCAGATACCTGTAGTCAGACAGTGGGATGGGGGGGTGGGAGATAAACAGAATAACCAGTGCACTGCAGACCAGAGGAGAGCAGTGTACAGACACCCAGGCCTGATGTGATAGATTCATGTGTAAAAGGTGCAGAGAAGGCTTCTCAAAAGGACTGGCACGTGATCTTGACCTTGGAAGATATCAGCAGCTTACCAAGATAAAGGTTAAAGGGAATTCCATTCAGAGGAAGCAGCGTAAGCAAAGGCTGGAATCAAGAACTGTCAAATGGTGTTGAAAGAGTGAATGGATACCGAGAGGGCTTGGGGCCAGGTTGGGAAGGGCCCTGCAAAAGAAATGGAATAATCTGCACTTTGTCCTTCCAGCAGTGACTCTTCATCCAGCTTCTGCTGCAGGGAGTACAGGATCTCTTTTTAAGAAAGACTACATTTCATCCAATCATTTTATTTATTTTACCAAATGAAAGAACAAATATTAACCACTAGTAGGAGCATTTTGCCAAGGTGATCCTCAGGCCTGACTAAGCTTAAAGAAAGTGGAATGGTTCACATTTGAAAGGAAAAGAAATGTTTTATTTTAAATGAATCATACTAAAAGAAACTTAAGCTAGTACTACAACCTTATTATTCTTTATTTTTCTCTGTTGTCACCTAGAACAGTCAAGGTAAGGAAGACTTGGCAGAAGCAGCAGTCCACAGTGGATTTACATTTTACGCTAAAGTCCATAGTCGTCATCACAGACATTGTTGATATTTATTGAGTACTTGATGTCTGCCTGGGCTCTCAGTTGGTATTATGGGATGTGTTAACCCACATGGCATATCAGAGTCCTAGGTACTCTGTTTCCAGTCCAGCGCCTGCTAAGGCACCCAGGAAGGCAGCAGATGATGGTTCCCCAAGTGTTTGGGATCCCTGCCATCTACTTGGGAGACCCATATGGAATTCTTGACTCCTGGATTCCGCCCGGCCCAACAGTGGCTATTGCAGCCATTTCGAGAGTGAACCAGTAGATAGAAGTTATCTTTCTCCCTCTGTCACTCATCACTCTGTTGGGCCCCTACACCCACATGGGAGACACCGATGGAGTTCCATTCTCCTGACTTCCGCCTAGCTCAGCTCCAGCCATTAGGCCATTTGAAGAGTGAGCCAGCAGATGGAAGCTCACTCGCTTGCTCGCTCTCTCTTTCTGTAACTCTGCCTTCAAATAAATAAATAAATCCTTAAAAATAATATAAAGAAAAAGAATGATGAAGGTAATTTTTCATGTTCCTGGAATACAAATTACATTCTATTTTGTAATATTTGAATCACTATTATGATCTTTTTTTTTTTTTTTTTTACTGATGATAACATTTGAAGCAGAAGGATAGTTGAATGACTTACATAAGATCTCAAAGCAAGTCAGTTGGTTAACTGGAAATAGAACTCATGGGTCCTGAATCCTACAGCACCTACTCTCCCCTCCCCACTTACTTCTCACCCCTCTTCTTAGTCTTCCTCTGGGTATGTGAACAAGTACTCATAAAACATTCAAATAATGTGAATATATCCAAATAATACAAACACATCGAGAGTAATAAGTAAGCAAAAGTCGCTGTTTATCTCATCAACTTGCCATTTTACTCTCCCAGAGGAAACATGTATTATTTGTGGCTTTATTGCCTTATAAAAATATTCAGTGTTTAGTTTTACTCTTTTTAATATTTGGATTCATACTATTGTTTTAACTCGTTTTGTCACTTAACAGTGTCAGGATTCTTTTAATTTCTAGTCATTAATCTAATTGTTTTAACCATTATATAATCCATTGCAAGGCAATACTAAAATTAATTCTTTATTCCTCTGTTGATGTTCAAGTTGTTTTAGGTTTTCTCTATCACAATGATGCAGTGAACATGCCTGTACTTTTCTCTTATGTGTATGAATAAAAATTTCTAGAGTAGACACGTGGAGGGAAGATCCTGGGTCAAATGCTGTGTGCATTTGATAGATTCTGTCAACTTACCCTTCCCCAAAGCCTGCATTACTTCATACTTTCGCCTGCACACTCACCAACAGTACCAGTAACCTGTCATCTTCATTTTTGTACTATAGCAGGTGAAATTGGTAATTCCTTGTTTCTAAAGATTTGTTTTATCCAACATACTCTGCTTCGTGCATGTTGTAAAATAAAACATCACAGGCAAGTTTGGTTAAACAGAAGAAAAAACATCTTGCCACCCTCATACAGCTAGTATAATTTTTGTATATATTCTTCTGATATTCCTATGTGTATATATAGATTTAAGAATTTGACATAGTTCCTACTGTTTATCTACATTTACACTCAACACTTCATGGTTTTACTTTGTTTCTATTTAGACATAATTTTTACTGGCTGTGTATTCTTCTATTGAGATGGTTCACCATAATTTAATAATTTTTGTTTTCAATTTGCCAAACATTTTTTAAAATTATTTCTTAGTCAAGAATTTTGGTTTTTTTCTCTACTTTGAGTAAATTTTATTTATCAAAGTCCCAATGCCCAAGAGCATTTCTCAAGCCTCACTTCTTTTTTTTTTTTTTAAGATTTATTTATTTATTTGAAAGACTGATGCGCTCCCCCAGATGGCCGCAGGGGCTGGAACTGGGCTGATCCAAAGGGGCCTGGAGCTTCTTCCAGGTCTCCCACACGGGTACAGGGGCACTAGGGCCATCTTCTGCCTTCCCAGGCCACAGCAGAGAGTTGGATCAGAAGTGGAACAGAGGGACTTGAACTAGCGCCCATATGGGATGTCAGCACTGCAGGCAGCGGCTTTACCCGCTACACCACAGCCCCAAACCTCACTTCTAAGACAAAAGCATTTTATAGGTCTAGCTTTGTTCATTTATTTGTTTCCTTTACTAGATATTACCAGCATTTACACTTTTTAAAAACTTTTTTTTTACAGATGTATTTATTTATTTGAAAGTCAGAGTTACACAGAGAGAGGAAGAGACGCAGAGAGAAAGAAAGAGAGAGAGATCTTTCATCCGCTGGTTCACTCCCCAAATGGCCACAACGGCCGGGGCTGTACCAGATTGAAGCCAGGAGCCAGGACGTTCATCCAGGTCTCCCATGTGGGTGCAGGGACCCAAGGACTTGGGCCATCCTCCACTGCTTTCCCAGGTGCATTAGCAGGGAGTTGGATCAGAAGTGGAGCATCTGGATTTTGAGCCAGGGCCCATATGGGATGCAGTCCACAGGAGGTGGCTTTATCCACTATACCACAGCACCAACCCCTAAAAAATGTTTTTAATCAAAGCAATACATTTATATTATGAAATAAACTTCTTTGCTCCTTATGTTTTTCATCTTCAATTTCATTTTATCTTCTATTAATATCAGTGTATATTTTCTTTTTTTAATCTCTGACTAGTATTTGCCTTTTTTTTAACTTTCCTTTTAATTTTCATTTTTGGCATTTCTTATAGAAAGTGTATACCTAGATTTGTTTTGGAGGTGTGACTTTATATATATTTAATCAAAAGTATTTTAATAGTGAGATTCAGCTCATTTATCTTTACTGTGAATATTAATATATATGTTCTTCTGCCATCTCATTTTGTTTTTCTAAGTTTCCTTATAATTTGTTTTTCTTTCAGACCTTTTATTTCTGAAAATACCTTCATTTATCTACCCACTTATGTGATAGTTTAGTTGACTATAGAATTGTGGGTTCAAAATCATTAGTTTTGGTATTTTCCTTAAGGTATGCCGTGAGTCAGGCAAGACACACATTCACTTCCAGCATAGAGTCCTGCAGCTCCAGCCGCCTTCCCTTCTGTACCAAGCCATGGAGCGTCATCTCAACTGCATGTTTAAGTAACCTTTATGGTGAATTTCATTTCATCAGGCCGGCGCCGTGGCTCAATGGGTTAAAGCCATGGCCAGCAGCGCCAGCATCCCATAGGGGCACCCTGGCTGCTCCACTTCTGATCCAGCTCCCTGCTAACTTCCTGGGAAAGCAGCAGCAGATGGCCCGGAGAGTAGGTCCATGCCAGAGACCTGGAAGAAGCTCCTGGCTCTTAGCTTTGGCCTGGCCCAGCCCTGGCTGTTGCTGCCACTTGAGGATGGAAGATCTTTCTGTCTGTCTGTCTCTCTCTCTCTCTGTCTGTCTGTCTGTAACTCTGCCTTTCAAATAAATAATCTTACAAAAAAAACTTCATTTCATTATGAAACCAAGTCCTATATGAGGATGCCGACTCTTCTTAATATTGCTTACATAACATTGAAAAGTTAAAAACCGTGTTAGTTAATGGCCATGTAATTATAAGCCTCTGGCCTAATTGTTCTGTGATTGACAGTCTAGGGATCTCTGGCGTGAGTCTCCTTGATGATAGCTCTTCACTTTCCCTGTGTTATCCAGCCTTTACTAAGCATATTATAGTGCTCAGTAAATGCTTGTGTACAAGCGGTCTTCAAAAAGTATATTAAGGAAAAACTTTGCATGGATTTCCATTTTGTTTTGCACCAAAATAAAATCCTACTAACTGGTTGTAACGCATCTGAACAGGGTCTAGTTTGAGGCACTAGGAAGAATAAGACGTCAGTTAGAAAAGAGCTCCTAGCACAGCAAGAAGAATTCTGTTAACACTGAAGCAACAACAGACATGAAACTGATGGTGAAGCATGGGTGGAAGAATGAAATCATTGATGTCCTATAAAAGGTTGATGGTGACAGTGCCCCAAAGAAGTCGGCAGTTTACACATGAATCATTGATTCCAGAAGTGTTTATGGTGAACATAAAGCTTACAAATCAGTAACTGATGCTATAAGTTTTTATGGTGAACATGAAGCCTGAAGCAGAAGACCATCTACATCAGTTTGTGAGGAAAAATTAATTTTGTCTGTGTCCTAAATGAGGACCACAATTAATAACAGACACGATAACCAACACCGTAGATATTTCAGTTGGCTGAGCTTACATGAGTGTGATCAAGAATTAAAGTGGAGCATTTTTTTGCTCAAATGGCTGCCAACACTGCTGCACCCAGTTCAGCTACAGACAAGAGCAGAGCTTTCAGCAGAAACTGTGAGCCAGCAAGATCACGATCCTGAAGCATTTCTTGGCAGAACCGGAACAGGAAATGGACCATGGCTTTCCCAGTGCAATTCGGAAGCATAGCACAGTCAGAGAGCAGTGCCTCAGAGGGGTGGACGTGGTCCAGTCGGAGCACAAGAAAAGGTGCTTGTGAACTGCGCGAGAGCGAAGGTCGGAGCCACAGCTTTCCGGGATGCTTAAGGCATTTAGCTTGTTGACTTTCTAAAGGGCCAAAGAATAACATTTGCTTATTGTAAGAGTGTTTTGAGAAAGTTCAAAGCTTTAGCAGGAAAATGCCCAGAAAGCGGCACCGCCACAGTGCTTCTGCTCTTCAAACGAGCAGTTTTGCAAGTTTCAGTGGGAAATCGTAGGCATCCACCTTAGAGTCCTGATTTGGCTCCTTCAAAATTCTTTTTGTTTCCTAGTCTTAATCTTTAAAGGACACATGTTTCTCTCTAGTTAATAATGTTCAAAAAATGTATTGGCATGGTTAAATTCCAAAGACACTCAAGGTCTTTAGGAAGTGACTAAATGGCTGGTGTCATCACTTACAAAAAATGTCAGATTTGATGCGACTTACGTTGAGAAGAGGTTTACATTTTTTATTTTTGCCCTTTAATTCCATTTCTTCACAAATTTTTTGAAGTCCCTTAGTATTGATCAGTTAATTAAAGGTATCAGGAAACTGCCTGTTAAAAAGTTCCTGGTTTGGTACCAAAACCAAAATTTTTCAGTAAAATTTAAAACAAAAATTTGCTATACTCTATAATGGCCAAAGCTGGTTTTTCATAATTTTAAAATTAATCCTTGTATTCATACCATTTCAGACTCTAGCCCTTTTGGAAGAAGAGGAAGATATAAACCAAATCACAGATTACTTCTCCTATGAACATTTCTATGTTATTTATTGTAAATTCTGGGAATTAGATAGTGATCATGACCTCTACATCAGCCAGGCCGATCTGTCTCGATACAACGACCAGGGTGAGTGATTCTGTAGATGCTGAGATGTTGAAGAGCTATGTAAACTGTCCCTGCTCATTTTGAGAAATTCTTGTTTCTTTTATATCTTATCCAAATCCTCTTTCAGGGCCAAGCATTTTTAAGTGGAGGTGAAGCAAAGATAGTGTGATACTGTTTTTTTTATTTAGAGGCCAGGTCTAAGGAAAAAAGATTCGGAGGTAAGTTGTCAGTCTTGGTTTTTGTGAATTGACAAGCCTTCATGGTGATGTGTGTGTTCTGAGGATGAAATAAGCAGGATCTATACCTGGATAAATCTGTCTTGAAGAGATTAGATATGCACCTCTATAATATTTTCTATGCAAAAATATTTCTAGGAAAACCCCAAGGATAAAAATAATGTTTCTGCCTTGACAAATTTTATTTTTCAAGTACTCTTCAAAACATACATTTTGGAGTTTAGTTCCAGAAGCTGTGTTCTCTGCAGATGTTTTCCATGCTTCCTTTTGTCAGAAAACAAAAATTAGACATCATATGGGAGCACCCTTCCTGCTCCATTTTCGCCAGTAGTGAACTTAGAACCTGTTCTCAACTAAGCACCAAGATACACTGATTCATCCTCCGCGCATTATATTGTTCCTGTTCTGTCCATAAATGTCTTCCCTGCAGCTGTAAAATCAGACTGCCTTTCTATGTGTTGGAGCACACATTTTTAATAAATGCATTGGGTCTTGTTATCTGGTGTATGTGAGGAATGATAGAAGTTTGACATGTTTAAAAAGTGAGTACTCTCAAATTTTCAGATGCTAAGCAGACATCAAGGGGAAATACCCAGGTGTATTTACCTGACACAAAGTGGTCATAACCTTCCTGTCACCAAGACAGCATGACGGTGTGGAGACTCGGCTTTCCTAGCTGTACACCTCCCTTTGGGCAGTGAGAACTGTACCACAGGGCCAGCCTGCAGAGGTTGTGCACTGTCCCAGCTTCTAACGGTCTCTCTCTGGCTGATGGAACCACAATTCTCTGAAGTCCCCAAATACTGTGTATAATCAGATAGCAGCTCACTACTGCCATGTTCATGGGACAAAGTCTAGAAAAGCAAACGTCTAGGTTTGCATAAATGAAGGGATCACTAAACTCTACATAAGTTATTCACTTACCAAACTCTTATGAGACAGCATGAAATAAAATAGTCTTCAGTTTTAGGAGGTAAAACTTCCAAAGCTAAAATATGTTAGCTTTGGCATGAAATATCCATACCTTTCCTCTCGGATCCTCTTTTTTTTTTTTCTATCTAGTACAAATTATTAACCTCATAAAACAGTGCTTAAGAAAGCATAGAGGATCTTTGCATAAGCCTTGACATGAGGCCAGGCATGGCCATACTGACACACATATTCCCAACTTGCTTGAACCAAACTGTCTATATTGACTGCACCTAACTCCCTATAGAAGTATTAGATGCTGAGGGTGCCAGCTCCCTCATGCTCTCATTACTCAACCTGAAATGTTAGTGTGTAGACCATTCATTGCCTAGTGTACTTGTTAAAGAGATCTGAGATTCTGAGGCATCTCTTCAAAAACATACATACACACATACATAACCTAATGCCATTAGTTATTTTGAACCTACAATGAGGTATGCTGCTGTAGATTCTTCTAGACTCTTTAATCAAAAAGCAGTATACTATCTTAAGATATAATTGACTATAGATACAACTTAATTATAGAATTTCTAAAAATTCTTTGTTAAATCATGTTATATCCTGGACTCACATAGGATGGGAATGTAAGAAAAGTCTGGTTATAGTATGTCTTGATATCTTTTGTAAAACTCTACTTGAAAGCATTCTTTGGTATTTTGCTTTAATATACTGTACACTGTTTTAGGACTACACAATCCGCTCCCTCTTGAATTTGATGTTAGCATGCAATTTATCTTGTTTTAGATGAAAATTTGTTTCATCTCATTGGATAACAAGGTCAATAAAAATGTAGTGTATTTTATATTAGGTGTCAGGTTGCTCAGAATTAATTTAGCACTCAGCTGTGTTAATACGTCCCAGCATCAGGCACATTAATTTGCCTGTTATTTTTTTTTAAATCATTGATGGATAAATAGGAAGCTGCCTCATTCATGCTTCAAAATAGTATAAATTGAATATAAGTTAAAAACAAGTACTCATATTCTCATCAAGGTAGATTGTTATGGTTTAGCTTATAAGAAATGAAAAACAAATTTCCAAAAGTATTGCCTTTATGGAACATGTTTCTAACTGGCTTTGTAATTTATATTTAGCTTCCTCAAACAGAATTATTGAAAGGATATTCTCTGGCGCAGTAACAAGGTAAGAAAAGTTTAAAATCTCAGTTTAAAGATGAGCTACAAGTGATAACTGGATTGATCTCATTTATCAAGATTTCTTCCATAACTTGGCAGTGCTGCTAGTTTAAATAGCATTACATTGAACATATGGTCATGGTGTAATGTAAGACAGTGCTTCTTTAATATGAATATTAGTCCCATATGTAAATGCAGGGAACAGTCTTAGAGTCCAGTAATTACCTGGATTCAATTAGAAACCAGGGTTCTTTTCTTCATATTTGCTGGTGCCTTCTGGTTTCCCCTTGTAGGATTCAAAAACAAAACAGGCAACAGAAGGGTTGCCTTTTATGAATAGCCAACATTCTAATTTTTAAAATTTTTAACTGAATTTCCAAAGAAGGATATTATTTAATTACTCAGGCAATTCTGCAACTGTGCGTTTTCTTCAGGGGAAAAACAGTACAGAAGGAAGGAAGAATGAGCTACGCCGATTTTGTTTGGTTTTTGATCTCTGAGGAAGACAAAAGGAACCCCACCAGGTAAGACGACTCAATTTCCTTTACCAAGGTGTCAGACACACACGCAGAGCTGGACACAGTCATGGCGCACAGCTCGGGCACTGAGCCCAGCCCAGCGGCCGGGCACTGCCCTCGCAGACAGAGGACAAAGGATGAGGAAGCTGATCGGGAGGAATCAGCAGGACTGGTAGGCATTTTAAGAGAATGTGGGGATGGACACCATGAATCCTCATTGCTTTACAATCCTAAAGGTTCAGGAGTAAGTCTGAGAAGGAAAGGAAGGAACATGTGCATGATCAGAGTGACCCCATGCGACTGGCAAACACCTGGATTTATGGTGGCAAGTTCTCCTAGTTAAGCAGAAAGTCTTGTCCTCTCTGCTCCTTATCCCTCGCTCGTGTAACACAGTGCCCACGGCTTGTGCTCAGGGAGGGAGGGCTGCAGTCCTTGGTGCTGCTTGCAGGTATAACTGACTCAGCTGACTTCATACTGGCTCAAAAGGTTGTCTGAATGTCGGATATTTTGTTTAGAAGTTATTGAAGTAAGAGTAGCTTGTTACATTATTTTTAAATAACTTTCATTTCAAAAGCAGGTAGGTGATTTTGTCATTGTGCAAATATCATAGAATGTACATATACATAGATGGTATAAGTCACTTAACATGACCTCTTGAAGCAATGTAGACATGTGGAACCTGAAATGTAAGAGGTGCCAGTGCTGTGGTGCAGGGAGATATAAAGCCCCGGCCTGCAGCACCAACATCCCATATGGGTTCAAGTCCCAGCTGCTCCACTTCCAATCCAGCTCCCTGCTAAGGTGCCTGGGAAAGCAGCAGAAGATAGCCCAAATCTTTGGGACCCTGCACCCATGTGGGAGACCCAGAAGAAGCTCTTGGCTTCGGATCAGCTCAGCTCTGGCCATGGTGGCCATTTGGGGAGTGAACCATCAGATGGAAGACTCCTCCCCCGCCATCAAATAAAGTAAATCTTTGAAAAGAAATGGAAAAGACTGCTGATGGCGTAACAAAGCACACTATTTTACATTAAACTTCTTTATTGAGAGGTAGAGAAACAGTGAGCTCCAGTTTGCTGGTTCACTTCTCAGATGCCTGCAATAGCAGCTGGCCAGAACCTAGGACTCCCCCGCCCAGGAACTCAATCCAGATCTTTCCTGTAGATGATAGGAACCCAATTGTGTGAGCCATCACCATCGTTTTCCAGGGTCTGCATTGGCAGGAAGCTTGAGTCAGGAACCAGAGCAAACAAAACAATCTTGAAAAAGAACAAACATACCAAAGAACTCACACTATGTGATTTCAAAATATACCACAGAGTTTAAAGACTGTATGGTACTTGCTTAAGGATGCACATTTAAATAAGTGGAACTCAGCTAAGAATCCAGAAATAAATAAGTCCCCACATTTATGTGTAAACTGATTTTCTTTATATTTGAAAGGCAGAGTTAGAGAGGAGAGATATCTTCCATCCACTGGTTCACCTTCCACATGACTGCAACAGGACTGAACCAGGAGCTCCATCCAGGTCTCCCACATGGGTTGCAGGGGCCCAAGCACTTAAGGCCATCTTCTAGTGCCTTCCCAGTCCCACTAGCAGGAGCTAGATCAGAAATGGAGCAGCTAGAACTTGAACTGGCATTCATATGGGATGCTGGCATCACAATAAGTGGCCTAATTCACTGGGTCATAAGGCTCACACCCAGCTAACTAATTTTCAACCTTGATACTAAGGCATCTTATTAGGAAAGAACAGTTTTTCATCAGTGGTACTGTGACAGCTGGATATCCACATGCAACAAAAATAAATTTGGATCCCCTATCATATTATACATAAAAATTAAATCAAATGGATTACAGACCAAAATGTAAGAGCTAAGACTTTAAAATTTTTTGAGGAAAATATGGAAGTAAATTTTTATGGCCTTGGTTAGGCACAGTTTCTTAGATATGAAACCAAAAGCCCAAACAACTAAAGAAGAAAATAGATGACTTGGACTTCTCGAATTGAAAACTTACATTTTAAAAGACATCATCAGGGCTGGCGCCATGGCTCACTTGGTTAATCCTCTGCCTGCGGCACCAGCATCCCATATCGGCACCAGGTTCTAGTCCCAGTTGCTCCTCTTCCAGTCCAGCTCTCTGCTGTGGCCCAGAAGGGCAGTGGAGGATGGCCCAGGTGCTTGGGCCCCTGCACCCGCATGGGAGACCAGGAGGAAGCACCTGGCTTCTGGCTTCGGAGAGGCGCAGCGCCAGCCATGGCGGCCATTTGGGGAGTGAACCAACGGAAGGAAGACCTTTCTCTCACTCTCTCTCACTGTCTATAACTCTACCTGTCAAAAAAAAAAAAAAAAAGACATCATCAAGAGAGTGAAAAGACAGCCCACAACACAGGAAAAGATATATGCAAATAATTTTATAATAAGGGACTTGTATCTAGGATATGTAAACAGTATTTAAAAAATCAACAATAGGCCAGCGCCGCAGCTCAATAGGCTAATCCTCCGCCTGTGGCACCGGCACACCAGGTTCTAGTCCCGGTCGGGGCTCCGGATTCTGTCCCGGTTGCTCCTCTTCCAGTCCAGCTCTCTGCTGTGGCCTGGGAGTGCAGTGGAAGATGGCCCAGGTCCTTGGGCCCTGCATCCGCGTGGGAGACCAAAAGCACCTGGCTCCTGGCTTCAAATCAGCGCAGTGCACCAGCTGCAGCAGCCATTGGAGGGTGAACCAACGGGAAAGGAAGACCTTTCTCTCTGTCTCTCTCTCTCTCACTGTCCACTCTGCCTGTCAAAAAAAAAAAAAAAAAAAAAAAAAAAAGTCAACAATAGCAAGACAGACCCATTGAAAAAAATTAAGGATCTGAATAGATAGTTTTCCAAAGATATATAGGCAAGTATTTCAAAAAAGTTAATAAATTCATGGCAGATGAAATTAAAAAACAAGTATGCTTTGGTGTTAAATATTTCAAATTTTATAAAATTCTTTTGCACCAAAATTAACTTACATTTTAATTTCATCTTTCCAGAAAATTTTTGAAGTGTCGTCTTAACATGGCCAATAACCACATGAAAAGGTGATTGACATCATTAGTCATCAGAGAAATGCAAATTACAAACACAGTAGAGGGGCTGGCATTGTGGCATAACGGGTAAAGCTGCTGCCGGCAATGCCAGCATCCTATGTGGGTGGTGGTTCGTGTCCCAGCTGCTCTACTTGCAATCCAGTTCCCTATTAATAGCCTGGGAAAAGCAGCAGAATATGACACAGGTGTTTGGGCACCTGCCACCCACATGGGAGACCCTGATGAAGTGCCTGGCAGGCCTGGCTAGCCATGACTGTTGTAATCATCTGGGAAAGTGAACCAGTGGATAGATTTCTGTGTCTCTGTTCTCCCCTGTTGTCTCTGTAACTCTGGCTTGCAAATAAATAAATTGGAAAAATAAAAAAACTACAGTAGATACCACTTCACACCCGCTAGGATAGCTGTAATGAAAAAGCCAGAGGAGATGTGCTAGCAAGGATGTGGAGAAATCAGAAGCATCATAGACGACCAGTGGGAATGTAAATGCAGCCACTATGAAAAACAGTCTGACATTCATCAGCCGTTAAACACAGAGACCCCCACCATATGACCCAGCAGTAAGAGAAATGAAAATATAGCCACACAAAAACATGTATTCCCATAGTCATAGCAGCATTTTGCATAATAGGCAAAGGGTAGGAACATCCTAAATGTCCATCAGCTGATGAATGAACAAATGTGATCTATCCATGTAGTCAAATATTAAGCAGTAAAAAGAAATGAAGTGCTGCTACACAGTACACATGGTTGAATCGTAAAAACATTATGCAGAGTAACAGATGTCAAGCACAAAATACCAGATATTGTGTGAAATTGTTTACGGTAATGTACCACATAATGACGTTTCAGTCAGCATTGGGCCACACACACAACCCTGGTCCCATAGGGTTGTGTCACCTAAGTTTGTTTAAGTATACACCATGATGTTTACAATAATGAACTCTCCTAATGACACTTTGCTCAAAATATATCCACGTCATAAGCAAGACAAGCTTGTTTGTGAGTTGTCTAAAATAGGCAAATCTGTAGATACAGAGGGAGTGCTTAGTGGTTGTTTAGTCCATGAGAGGCCTGTGGGGAAATGAATGCTTTGGGGCATGAAGTTTCTTTTTGGAAAAGAGATAGAAGTGCCCAATAATTAATTGCAGTTGTTATACATCTATGTGAATATGTTAAAAAACCATTGAACTGGGGCTGGCACTGTGGCTTAATATGTTAAGCATCTGCCTGCAGCGCCAGCATACCATATGGGTGTCGGTTCAAGTCCCAGCTGCTCCACTTTCAATCCAACTCCCTGCTGATGGCCTGGGAAAGCAGTGGAAGATGGCCCAAGTCCTTGAGCCCCTGCATCCATGTGGGAGACCCAGAAGAAGCTCTTGGCTCCTGGTTTTGAATTGGCCCAGCCCCAGCTGTTGTGGCCATCTGGGGAATGATGGAAGACTCTCTCCTTCTCTCTCCCTCTCCCTCTCCCTCTCCCTCTCCCTCTCCCTCTCCCTCTCCCTCTCCCTCTCCCTCTCCCTCTCCCTCTCTCCCCCATTCTCTGTCTGTAACTGTACCACTGGAGTAAATAAATAAATCCTTAAAAAAAAATTGAACTATAAATTTCAAATGAAAGAACTGTGCAAAATATATCTCAATAAAACTGTTTTTAAAAAATTGAGGGAGCAGATATTTAGCCTAGCAGTTAAGATGCCTGCATCCCACATGAGAGAGCCTGGGTTTAATTCCTGGATCCAGCTTTTGACTCCAGCATCCTGCTAACGCAGACCGTGGGAGGCAGCAATGATGGCTCAGGTAATTAGGGCCCGGCAGCCCATGTGGGAAACTTGAATTGCACTTTTGCCCCCAGCTTCGGGCCCAGCCCAGCCATGTTCCATCCATTGTGGGCATTTGGAGAATGAATGGATGGGGATCTCTCTCTCTCTCCCT